GGGTCAGGTGCTTTTTAGTCCTCAAAGTAACACCCTTGCCTTTCAGTACTCTGGAGAGGTCTTGTGCAGCAGATTCACCCAATGCAGCTCATCATTTGATCTCTTGACTGCTGCTTCCAGGAGCATTGACTATGGACCCAAGCAAGACAACATGTTTGAAATTTTCCATTCCCCCCCACCCCCTCCAGTCATCATGATGTTAACTCCTAGTCCATTTGCGAGTTGTTGGTCTTCTTTACATTGAGGTGTGATCTGTCCCGAAGGCTACAGTCCTTGATCTTCATCAGCAAGTGCTTCAAGCCCCCCTCCGTTTCAGCAAGAACAGTTACACTAGCTGTAAGTTCTTACCTCTAAGACCTAGAGTTAGAAAACCGAACGGGAAGGGCTTGCTCAAGATAGCCTAAGCTGAAGAAACTAAAGAAACAGTCAAGCCTCGAGTTGTAAGACTGAAAGACGGTGTGGGCAAAATACTCAATGGTGCAGGACCGTCACGAAGGTGGAAGGACACACGGAGTCACTGCACCAGAAAGAACTAGTGGACACTCCACCTTCTCAGGAGGGAGCATGTGAGCAAGAACCAATGGATGGAAGGGTGGTTACCAATGAATTTCAATTCTTACGAAAAGCAGGAATTTATTCTGATAGAGAGGAGGACCCTATTTTAAGCAATCTTTAAAATTCCCTTTGAGTTTGCTAAAATTAGGATGGTTGCTGCCCAGTTTTGCCTGGAACAGGCGCGATTTGTTCCTGTTATCTTGGGGTAATTATTCATTGTGTCCTTCTCACTGTCAGGGGACTCTGCTCGGATGATAAAATATATCACTACCTGTGTTCAGGAGGACTTCTGCACCGAGTGATCATGGTTCCATTTTGAGCCAGATTCTGTCTTGATTCAGAATATGACCAGGACTCTCCACCACCGTCTGTTTCGCTCCTGATCCTGCCAGCACGCTCTTTCACTCGCCCTTGAGTAGTCTACGATGTCTGGGTCAAATTCCTTGAGTGTCTTGGGCTTCTCATCATCAATGTGGGCCTGCCTTCGCTCATTCTCATGACTCTCCTATCTGGGGAATTTTTACCTTACTCCCTTTTCCACATTTTCTTTCTACTTAGACTTGCTGCTTTGCCAGATTTCCATACTTTCACAAAATTAATTTTGCCTTATCTGACCATTTGTAACCTTAAATTTTATTTCCTATAAATAGATCCAGTTAGTTATTTTAGCCCACATTCCTTTTTTGCTTTGATGTAAACTCCCTGGTGCGTCAGCCTTCCTTGATGCCATTTTTAACTGACTGCTTTATGAGTTGCCTTTGGACCACAGCATAACGGGCTCGTTCCCAGGCATGCAAGCGTCGCCAGCAGCCGTCTTTGGCTGTGCTTCGGGAAAATGCCATCTGCTTGCTCTTATTTTATTTTTCTTGAGGAATAAATCAAGGTGGTTAGTTCCCAAGAGTTTTGAAGATGGTCAGTCAGATTTTTATCGACTCTTGTCTGCAAAATGAACTGGCATGAGTGAAGCAGTGCGCTATGGGAGGGCAGTAGATGGAGACATAGGCTGTTTTCAGCTGGGTGTCAGCGATTGGGAAGGTGGGTGGTGTTGTTATAAAGAGCATGTGATATTAGTCAGGAGACCTTGTTCACCCTCTGTGTGGAACATTTTTTTCTCCTTTTCCTTTTCTGAGTGTGGCTTAGCTCGTATTTTGTGTTGTCTCTACTGACATACGGGTAAGTCATTTGTATTCAGAGAAATTGTAGAACATACAGCTGCAGAAAATTGCTGAGAGTCCCACCGCATAAAACCAGCCACTGTGGATAACATTTGGTGTCCTTTTCCTAGTCTGGTCTTTTATTCTGTCTTTACGTAGCTCGGATCACATGGAGTAAGTCATTTCATATGCTGCTCTCTGCGTTTTCATGAAACCCACTTACCGCACACGTATGTGAATGGGTGCTATGTGCCGGGCCCTACGTGCCTCCCTCTCGGGAGCGGCTAGGAAGTCCCAGAGAGGAGAGAGCCTGAGGGCTGCCAGGAGGAGAGGGCATGCCCGCACCCCAAGGCAGAGTAGAGAGGGCAGGGGGAGGTAGAGGCAGAGAGGGCAGCCTGGTCAGAGGACAAGGGGGAGGATGGTAGATCTAGAGGACAAAGTGCTTCCAGGAAGACGGGGCGGGGCCTTGTGTTCAAGGCAACATGGACGGGAGCAGGCTCAGCTGCAACTGGGAGCGTGGTCTGGCATATTCTGTGAGCCTTCGGATTTTTAAACATAATTCAGTGGCCGCCTACGATAGCTAATGCACTTGACGTACCAGCATACGGTCTTTGAACTGTGTGCTTTAAAAAAAAACTATTATAAGTAAGATCACGGGAACCGCTTTGTAAACGTTCTTGTCTATTTTGAGCATCATTTCCTTTGACTGGGGCCCAGCGAGGGAGGCGCTGGGCCAAGAGCAGAGCCTCTTCAGGGCCTGGGGTTCTTCATGGCTAAGATTCTTTCCAAAGGACTGTGGGACTTGGACTTCCTGCAGCTGTGCACGCCCCTGAATCCTAACTGTAAATGGCCAATGGGTCCCTGCTAGTTCCTCTCATCAGTTTAGGAGTTTGTTGAAGCTTGGACAGAGAATTGGATGGCAAGAAGCAAACCCATTATGGGATGGAAACTCTCCTCAGCTCTCACAAACTAGTTACATGAAAACACACAGGTCCAGGGACTGCAAATCGTAAGGAGCCCGGACTTACAGGTGGTGCTGGGGTTGATGACGTCATGCCTTTTCACTAAGGTTCTGGTGAAAACTGAAACCAGGTTTGTGCGGGGGACCAGCCTCCCCACAACCAAATTGGGTCCAAGGGGCAGTTGTACAATTGAGGGGTTAATTAAAGAGACAGTGGGGGGGGGCCTAAGGGGAACCGATCACAATGGGGTATGCCCGCCCCCCATCCCAGGGGGATAGACAGCAGAAACGTAGGTGAAATGAGACAGCAGTTGGTGTAAAACATGGGGGGGAAAAAAGAAGAATTTATAAATTATCAAGCGGGCATGGGGGAAGGAGGAAGGCAGGGTGACGGAGGGGAGGGGGAAAATGAGGAGCTGATGCCAGGGGCTCAAGTAGAAAGAAAATGTTTTGAAAAAGATGATGACAACATATGTACACATGTGTTTGACACAGTGGATATATGTATGCATTGTGATAAGAGTTGTAAGAGGCCCCGATAAAATAAAATAAGAGAGACACCAGGCAAGATAAGGCATGCAAGGGCTCAGTGTCAGGAGCCAGGTCCCAGCAGAGAGAGTGAGTAATGTAATATCGTGAGCTTTGACCATCTCGGGCATGCAGGGCATGGTAAGCACTTACGTAAGTAACAAGAAGGGGGTGTACAACACGTCACAGGAGGGGGGCGAGCTAGGGGTGTGCACGCAATAGGAAGGGGAGGCACTGGAGGCACCCAAGTACCTAACAAGATGAGCGGACTTTAGAATCAAGATGGCAGCCAAACCTTGGTCGGCCGAGTTGGTTTGCCCTTAGGTGTCTTTGAGCTCTCCTTCAGGGGTACATTCCGCAATCCTCATCAGAAGGGAGAGGGCCCTCCTCATGGTGAGACAGACAAGAGGGTCTGATTGCCTTAGATGGCTGACAACCTGCAGGCAGATAACCTTCAAGCAGTTGACCTCCAAGGGTATAGTCAGCGACCAGGTGTTTACAGACAGCACCTTAGATTTGGCATTATTATGGGGGGTCATCGTGGGGAATAACTTTTCCTTGGGAGAATGGGAGAGGGACGCATCTCCAACCCACCAACGTGAAGGTTCCCTCCACGGGAGCCCTGGCCTCCCAGACTCCTTATGGCATGAATGGTGAGAGTTTGTCCTCAGACACTCGCTTCCTGCTTCTGTTGCTCACAGTTTGGCAGAGAGAAATAGCTCAACCAGGATCTTCTTCTTCATCCCTGCATTCCCATGCATTCATATCGATGGGATCCAGCTCAGCATTTAAGAACGGTGGCCCTTTTCCATAAACGCCCTGCAAATCCCCCAGAGCAGCTGCCTGCTAATACCAGCGAATGACTTCTACCCTCTCCTCTGCCTGCCTGGGGTGGGGTGTTGTCAACCTCCCCAGCATGTGGCAAAGAGAGAACAGCTTCTAGACTAATCGGCGTTTCAGAAATGCTGCCCCATTCCCTTCCCCGCCAACCACTCCTCCAAAAGCCACTACTTTCTAATGACTTCCCGGTCACATTAGGAATTGTCCCGGCAGCTGGGCAAGAGGAGCTGACCTCGGCTGCCTTCCTGGGATTACCATTTAACTGTTTCTTGCCCACTGGACAGCTCCTCACTCAGGATTTGCCACAGTGCCGACAGTGCCTCCCCCAGGACTGGCAGCCCCCCAGTGTGCCCACATCTCACCCAGCACTCCCAGGGCCTCACCCGGGACTGGCAGGGCTCAGTGCAGCTCACTGTAGCTCGCTGGTAGCTCGCCGTCAGTTAAGCTGGCCGCCTCCACTTCAGCCTCTTGCCATTGGCTGCACCTTCGGTGGAAGCCCAGAGGGTCGACATCCACCGTGAACCGAAAGGGTCAGAGATGCTCACATCTCTGTAACCCCCCAAATGGGAGACCCTGTGTGATAAAGGACAACTTAACAGAGGGTTGAGTGTTCTAGAACCAGACAGGCCTGGGTGCCTTTAGACACCCCCCACCCAACTGCTTCTGGCTTGGTGACCTTGTGTGAGTGACTTAGCTTCTCAGAATCTCAGTTTCTCATCTGTTAAAAAGTAAACAATGTATCACCAGTGTCAGCAGATTATTGTAAGAAGTGAATGTGATCCTGCGTAGTGAAGTACCCTCCACACAGTGCCTAGCCCCGTGCACCTCAGTCTGGTTCACCTTCCCGCCATCATTAGCTCTCCCAGCCTCGATGGTTAAGTTAAGTCTACTTGCCTCCCGTGACTCTAAGTTGGCTCAAACCTGACTCTTCAATCCTCTTTTTGTGTGTTTCATACTCGCAGGGGGCCTTGTGAAGAAGCATGGCCAGCCAGTTGATTCCAGAACGTTGGGGTAAGTTCTAGGTTGTCCGAGCCAGGGTAAGGGTGGGGATGGCTTTTCCTGTTGACTTGGCCAACATAGAGCTGGGGGGTTGCTTTTTGCAGGCGTTTTAGGTTAGAGTAACTAACAGGTGGGGATCCTAGAAGGGCATAAAGGGTATCAAGTGTCATTTACCCAGATCTTCCTGACCTTTGTGGGTAGCCCATTTCACTGGGCCATTGCTGAATGCTAAGGGAGTAGGGGATGTGACCCTCCTGTGCAGGGACCTCCAACAATGGAGTCACTGGTCAAGAGGCATAACTAGGCAAGCTCAGAAGAGGCCATCCGTGTATGACGCTTCTTATGAAAGTAAATCTGTAACAGACATGCCCCCAAATTGCAATGACGTGACACCATGCAAGCGTATTTCTTCCTAGAGGGAGGCCTGACTCGTGTATTCGGAACAGGTAGAGAGCTTTCCCCATTATCTTTCAGAGACCCAGGCTCTTCCCCTGCCATATATAGCTCTAGCTTCTCCCAGGTCCTCAGAGCTTCTGCTGGCCGTTTGCATCTGGCCAGAAGGGGGCGCAAGAGAGTAAGTGCAGGGGCTCTCGCAGGAGTAGACACAGCTACATGACAAAAGCATCCATGTCCCACAGAGAAGGGGCATACAGCACTTCTCTTTCCAGTCCACTGGTCAGAACCAAAGCTTTTGGCTAGACTTCAGTAGAATCCAGCTATGCTTAATTTTCGGGGGGGTGGGGAGGAGCACTGGTAAAGGAAGTCTAGTCACATCCCAGGAGGGAGAGAAAATTGATTCTAGTGCTACAGATTTTTCCAGAAAGGATATTCGTGATGTATTTCTAACGTGCAGAATTGAGTGTTTCCGTAGGATCAAGGTGACTCTCCTTTGTGGACTTCTGAGGTAGAGGGAGCCCTGGGGACCTGCACTGCTGCCTCGTCTGAGGCTGGGTTCTCTATAAGCTGATTTCTTTCCAGTGACCGGTTTTCGGCCCCTACCGTGGAGACCCGCCCTAGCATCTGGGGAGAGTGCCCACCAAAGTTTGCCACCAAGCTGGGGCGAGTGGTGGTCAAAGAAGGACTGATGGGACGATTCTCCTGCAAGGTCACTGGCCGGCCTCAACCACAGGTCACCTGGCTCAAGGTGAGGTTTCTGTGTTCTCTGACTGGACCAGGAAAGTATAGGGTGAGACCCTTGGACTAATGGGAGTCTGTCCATTCTTTGTGTTTCACCTGTAGGTGATTCCCAAGGGTCCTCTACATAGTTTATAGCCATGCTGTGCTTGGCCCTCTGTTCACACTCTCTTTATGTCACTCAGGAGCCCTGGTGGTGTCGTGGTTACATGTTGGGCTGCTAGCTGCAAGGTCAGCAGTTCAAAACCACCAGCCGCTCCTCGGGAGAAAGATGAGGCTTGGGAGAAAGAGGAGGCTTTCTACTCCTGTAAACAGTCACAGTCTCAGAGTTGTACCCTGCCCCGTAGGGCGGCCAAGAGTCAGCATCGACCCGATGGCAGTATGTGTGGTTTTCCGGTTTACGTCACTCAGACCACAGCATCCCCGTAATTTTCTCTCTCAGAACACTGCACAAAACTTCCGAGGCAAGACAGAATTGGTGACCTGAAGAGGGGAATTTGAAGTCATGGAACTAGGTTTTGGGCCAAGGCTCCCTGATTCATATAGTGATATGGGGCAAGCCACTTGACCTCTTGGAACCCCTATTTCCATCTATGTGAGTGGGGAGGAGGATACCACCTACTCAAAATGCCATTTGGGGGCTCTGTGTAGGGCTTTCTGCACCATCCCATGGTGAGCAAAGGTAGACGTGGAGGAAGTGACATTGAACGGGGGAAGCAAGCACCACAGGCCGGACAGGAGGTTGGCCCGGCAGGGAAGAGCATCGGCAATGGACGTCAAGGTCAAGGAGAACAGGTTTCCCAAAGATGAAACTCCTCGATTTAAAAAAAGGAGGTGGGGCATTTTTTACCTAGTGCCTACTTTTCCTGAACTGATCCCAGAAAAAGGTGGGACGAAGAGGAGCTGGTGTGGCGGCCTGTAGGCGCTCTCACCTCAACCAGGGCTGCCCCCCGTCTGTTCCCAGGCATCGGGCTGAGCTGGCCTGGACACACACCTCATGACTAGATCCCAATCAGGCCAGCGTCTTTGCACTGTCCACAGACTGCTGTCCGACCGTGTTGACAACATACGGAGCAGACAGCTCTGGGGCCCATGCCCTGACATCTTTACCACTCAGGGTAACTGGGAGGAAGGAACCGCAGTGCCACAGAGTGAGCCGGCTTCTGCGACTGATCTGCCTTACTGCCATCCGCAGGGAAATGCCCCTCTACAGCCGAGTTCCCGTGTGTGCATGTCTGAGAAGAACGGGGTGCAAGTTCTAGAGATCCATGAAGTCAACCGAGATGACGTGGGAGCCTACACGTGCATGGCGGTCAACGGGTCAGGGAAGGCGTCCATGTCTGCTGAGCTTTCCATACAAGGTGTGGCCTGGTGCGCATGGGGGTGGGGTGGGGTGCAGATGTCCACCCCACGTGTTCCCTGAGGTAGGGGTGGGGTGTCTTTAACCAAAGAAAGGACAGTGGGGCAAGCAGCCCAGACCCAAAGGCGGGTGCTACCCCTACCTCATCTCTGTGTCTCCAGGCCTTTCTTCCCCCTCAAACCCCTCCTTAGATCTATAACTGCAGCTTGGACAAATGGGCAAATGGGGGGGTACAAATCGGGTCAATGACATCGCCCCACATAAACCTGTTTAAAACTTCACTCACCATCCACTCTGTCCTCCAAGTCAGGCATCTCCCAGCTCAGTTCTTGTCACCCCACAGTCCCCATATTCCTTCTCACCCAGATGGGGCATTTCCGCCTCACCTCGGACCCCAGCCTCTTCCAGGCCTTACTCACCAGCCCTGTCACTCCTTCCCCTCCAGTGCCTTTGAATCTCTCTCTTCCCTTCCCTCCCAGTCCCTCCCCAAGGACAGTCGGGAAAGCTGGAGTACGTGGTTGGGAAAGGGGATCTGACATCACTGCATGGGAGCCAAATCCTTCACTAAGGTGGGATTGGGGGATCCTGAAAGGAGATGACCTTCAATCTTCTCCTTTCTTGATGGCTCCTTTTCTATGATTTTTATCTTCCAGGTGTCCTTCCTTTCAAAACAAATAGTGTTCGTGCATCCTTCCTGTTGAGAAACAATTGCTCCCTGCTTCCGTTAAATTTTGTGTGTGTGTGCCTATTTTTCAAAAGGCACAACATAAATGTATATTACATTGCAACCCAGAGCATGCATATGCATATGTGCATAGTTAAATGCAATAAGTTCCGTGTGATCACTATTTACCCCACATAGTAAATATTCTAAACCAGGAAGAACAAAATTATGGAGCCCATTACCAGCTGGGGATGTGCTGTTAGGTGTCTAAAGAGGTGTTGGCCACTCCCCCTGATCGGTCCTACGCCAAAATAAAAACCCAGACCAGCTCCCATTCCAACACACAACAACCCCACACATGCCAAAACGGGCTGTGCTCGGGGCTTGCTTTTCCAGAAGTAAATCATCAGACCGTCCCTGCCGGGGCCTTCAGGGTGGGCTTGACTCCAGCCTTTCCGTTAGCAGCCGAGCACATGGGCCATCGGCATCACCAGAGAACGCAGGTTGTCCAGGGACTGACCTGAAAGACAGTTCCGCTCGGAAGGGAAGCGTTTCATGACCAAACGGTGCATTGTCTTGGATCTCGGAAATAACTCCAGAACCAAAACAAACAGACAGACAAACAGAACCCAGAAGGAACAGACAAGGTGGCACCATTGGATGTGGCCCAAATCTGAGTTCTGTTTTCAGGATTTGCTAGACCCTTTTCTCAACTCGAATGTGCTTTGACATTTTCCACGATAAAGTACTTTCTCAAGAACGCGGCAGGGGAAAAGACACATTCTGTGCTTTTTCTTTGAAGAACTGGATGAAGTGTCACATGCCCTGGACACTTTTTAAAGCAATTTTGTGTCGACACGGATCGCTTTGAGGCGGTTGTTTTTGCGGGACACCTGATGGTCCAAGGTTTCGGGGTTCGAAATTTTCCATGGGTATTTATTTCTGTGTGTCCTACAGTTAGAGTTTGTCTCCTTCTGGAAGGTAGTCTACGACCCCAGGCCCTACCCTCTCAGGCCACTAGGAAAGAGCCCCTGCCAGCCCTAGGGGACAGCACCGGAAGCTCTAACAGTGTTTTCCAGGACAGGAGGAGTTGAGCGGACCAACCACAGAAGTTCGGGACAGGGGAGCTAGAAATGCCTGGGAAGTGGAACTCCTCCACCAAGTGGAGGGATTGTTATTTGATCATGTTTCCTTCTCGGGGTACAAACTATTCCACTAACACGCTTCCTCTCTTCCCCGCAGGCTTGGACAACACGCACAGGTAGGTCAGGCCCTGTGGTGATGGTGTTTCCCCTGCTGATGTGCTCTGCAAGAGAAGGGGGGCGTCGTGACAGCGTGCAGGGGGGGAGGATTGTCTGTGAGGGTGTCGCTCTTTGATCCTGGGGGTTTGCTTTTCCTGCTGTGAGTCCACACAGGCTCCGTGGCAGGGACGCCCTCAGTATTGAGACTCTCTGAGAGCTCGACAGTCCCAGTATTGACTCGGGATCTTCAGGAAGCGCTCTCCTCTAAAAGGGGTGTCTTGCACATCGCAGGACACGGTGCAGTCATTCATTCATTCAGTACATGTGTGCCAGGCGCGTCATGTCCCTCGGGTGGAGCGCAGTATGGCTACTAGACACCCGATAGTCCCACTGCCTACTGCAGAGAAGGGCTTGGAGCAGAGCTGTGGGGAGACCCACTTACAAATGGAGAAGGCGACCCGAACCACCGCTGTCTGGCTTAGCGTGCCGTGCCGGGGAAGCCCCTTCTAAAGACGAAGGCTGGAGGGTTGAGCTCAGAACTGCCAAGAGGAGCCCAAACTAGGTGCAGGCACAGTCAGGGAGCACCTGCCCCAGAGGGACTGGTGTCACTGCTGTGTTGCTGGGTGGCTTTGAGTGGCCTCGGCTCAGAGTGGCCCCGTGTGACAGAGTAGAATGCGCTGCGGGGTTTTCAAGGCTGTAGCTTTCCCACAGAGCCGCTGGGCGGACTCACAATGCCTGCCTTTTGGTTGGCAGCCAGCCCCTTCACCAGCGCTCCCTCAAGAGCATGCATGGCGAGGGAATGTTAGCGGGTGGGGAACCCCTGGGATGAGAAGTGGGCATGCGCTGACCCAAAAGAACACCCGGGCGGCTGCTGCTTGGTGTGTGAGGGAGACAGTCCTGGGAGGTTCAAGAGGCAAGCTCCTACAGGGCTGTCCTTGTGGGCACCTTGAGAAGCTCGGCTTCTTTCTTCACTGAATGGGCACACAGTTGGAGAATCCTTAAGCTTGGAGTGGGATCCTCCGATTGATGCTCTTATTCAGGTGGAAAATGTAGCAAGGGGGCCAGCGTGGGTGAGGGGAAGCCAGCCGGGTGGTGTGGACGAGTGTGGTGGCACCAGTGGACATGAGGGGAAGAACACCGTGGGAGAAACGGGGCTCTGGACAGGGGGGTGCTAAGAATGGCTGCCTTGGAATGTTGAGAAAACCGCTCTGACTCTCTTCGTGTGTGGGCTTGGGTGGCCCCAGCGATCTGTGGGATGCTGAGTCCTGTGTGCGAGTAACCTGATGGCCATTCTGTCCTCTTGCCCGGGCCTCCCCTCCCCGCTTCCACCACCACCATCACACAGGTCTTGTGCGAGAGGCGCACAGGCTGCCAGTGCAGATGCCAGGAGGGAGGTGACCAATGGTATCACCAAGGGATCCAAACTGGGCAACCCGGAGACGGTGGCCCAGAGTAAGAGTTGCCCCAGTGCACAGACAGGCACCTCCCCAACCTGGGCCACCCACCACCAGCCTCAAGCCCCGAGGGACCCCAAGGCGGCGGAGCCATCTGGAGACTCTGCAGGAAAGGACGTGAGGACCCCCATGCTCCGGAAGACTTCGAGCACCATCACGCTGCAGACCGCAAAAGTCCAGCCTGAGCAGAGAGCCCCTGGCTCGAGGCCTCTCTCTCCTTCCAGGGAAGAGCAGACAAGGACAGCGGCACCCCGGCCAGCTCCCCTCCACACACAGCCACCTGGCCTCCAGAGCCCAGGCACTGTGAGCAAGCCCGCTGCCAGGAAAACCCCCGTGGAGACCAGGAGCGGGTTAGCAGCCCCCAAATTTGAGTGCCAGCCCCGGAACCAGGAAGTGACTGAGGAGCAAGCAGTCAAGTTCAGATGTGAGGGTGAGTGGCTCTTTCAAGGCTCACTGGTCCCCAGGGTGCAGTGCTTGGGTGGTCATGCCCATCTTACAGTGCACAGCTGGCCCTGAGTCTTCTGTGTCCACCCCATCTCCATGCCCCCCAGGGTGCCCCCATGCTGGGGACTTTCCCTTGGGAGGGACTGTGAAAAAAAACGTCAGACAATGGCCCATTGTCTGTTGCTGAATAGAGCGTCAGTCCTGCGCCCTAATTTCGCCCCCCTTCACCACCGTGTCCTCCAAGAACAAACAGCAGACATTCCTCTCCCTCCGCCCCCTGTCTGACTCCGGCTGGCACAGCATCCTGACTCGTTCTTGAATTCCTCCTCCTGAAGGCCCCTGCCTTCATCTCGGGGCGTTCACACCTTTGGGCCTGAGGGTGGCGAGTCAAAGAGCAGGAGGCACAGGAGATGAAGTCCTTCCCCTAGCCCCCGCCCCAGGCCCTCCCTGCCCACATGCCCAGTGAGCTCTTCAGGGGCTCATGCCCTTCATTGGGCCCTGTAGTTTCAGGGGTCCCAAAGCCCAACGTGGCCTGGTTCCTGGACGGTGTCCCCGTGAGGAGACGAGAAGGCACCGTGGAGGTCTACGAAGAGGATGGATTCCATTACCTCTGTCTGCTGAGCGCCCGGACCCGGGACAGCGGGAGCTACAGCTGCACCGCCTCCAACGTCCGAGGCCGGGTGTCCTGTGGCTGGACCCTCCTGGTGAAAAGTGAGTGTGCCTCCCCAGGTCACCCTGGGGGCTCTGTGGGAGAGGATCCATCTGGGGCACTACCTGCATGGCGGGCATTTCATCCGCCGAAGCCTCTTGTCTCCACATCCCCAGCCGCAGGGCGAGCCCACGTTTTGTTGCTCCTGGCCGGTGGCTCTTCATCAGTAGTTCCCGTTAGGATCCCCTCAAAATAAACCCACCCGGCCCAGCTGAGAACGACCTCTTTTTAGGTTCCTCAGTGGTCAAAGTACTGCCGTGACGCAACCTTTGTCACCACAGAGAGCCAAGCGTCCGCTGCGTCGATAGGGGTAGAGTCATGCGAGATGATGGGTGTGTTAGTTCCCTAGGACAGCCATAACGCATTGCCGCGGCACGGGAGACTCAGGACAGCGGCATTGTCTCAGTTCTGGAGACGAGATGCCCAACTCCGGGTGCCCGCAGGGCCATGGGCTCTGAAGGAGCCTGCCTGGTCTCTTCCTGCATCTGGAGGCCCAGGCGTTTCCTGGGCCTGCAGCAGCATAGCTCCAATCTCTGCCTCCTTCCTCACACGGCCCTCTTCTCTCTGTCCCGCTCTGTTTAGACTCTTCTTCTTATGAGGGCTTTGGTCCTATTGAATTCAAGTCCACGCTACTCCAGCACGGCTTCGTGTGGACTAATCGTATCTGTCAAGTTGCTGCTTCCAAATAAGGGCATGTTCACAGAGAGCAAAGGTTCCCATGGCCCTCAGGTCGGTTCGACCCAGAGTGACCCTGGACAGGGTTTCCTTCAGGCGAGCCGCTGCCAGCTTCGGGGATGAAGCGTTGAATAGATCTTTGGGCGTTGCAAACAGAAACCAACCCATAACAATGTGGGATCCCATCTATTTGATGGTTCCTGTCATTCTGTTTACAAAAGTACTGTGGGCTTCTTAGAGGGAATTTAGACAAAATAGAATCATATGACTCAGAAATAAGTCTTTTGCTTTTTTTTGTCTTTTGATTTTTAAACAAAATTGGCTTGGGCTATTTGTACTGTTCTCAGTCCTAATTTGCTCGTGTACCATAAACCTGAGTCCCGTAAAGAGTAACAGTCTCAGAAACCCACAGGGGCAGTTCTACCCTGTCCTAGAGGGTCGCCGTGAGTCAGAATCAACCCGATGGCAGTGAGTGAGCGAGTGAATATAAACATCTTTCTATATTTTAAAGACTTCTCTGACAGCATCAGGTCATACCACTGGGGGATGTATTACACAGCACCGCAAGGGTGTGGTGTTAGGTGCCATCCAGTGCGTCCCGACCCACACTGAGGGACCCACACGGGCAGAACCAGCAAACTGTAGAATGCTGGAAGTGATGGCCCGGTGACCTCCATCTATACCTTTATCTCTATCTCTCTATTTTACAGCAGGGAGAAAGAGAGAAGGGGGAGGGACAGGGTGGGAGAGAGGGAGGGAGAAAAGAAAGAAAGAAAACGTGCCCCTTATAGGACACGTAGATTATAAGCTATATAAACAATATCTACAGTTTCAGGATAAGGAGCTCGCTTAAATCCTGGTTGAAACTAATTTTAAAATTACGAGCACCTCAGCGCGTTTTTAACATGCACGCTGGAGGCAGGGTTCATAGGTCTAAGAAACGGAGCGTCGGCGTCCAGGCCAGGGGTGTGGGGTCTCCCCAAAGCTTCGTCATCCAGACACGTGGTTTTGTGCCTGCCCCAAATTAATGAGACACCCCGAGAGCCTGGTTTCTCTCCGAAGGCTTCCTTATCTGTGAAGGTACCTAAATCGTTTTTGTTTGTTTTGTTTATCTAAATCTTACAGACGAGCCATTTGGTCAGATCTAGAGGTAATTCATCGCAGGTTGACATCCTACCTTCTTGTGTTTTTAGAACGGCTGCGTCGAGATATAATTCACACTACGTGGAAATCACCCTCTCAAAGTGTGGACTTCAGTGACCGGTAGTGGTTTCCTAGGTTGTGCAGCGTCACCCTCATCATACAGTGTTTCTTTTACACAAAACGCCGTCTCTGTCCACAGTCACTGCCTCACCCACCATCCATCACATGCGCTCTTCTCCAGCCTCCGGCAAGCGCTAGTCTCCTTCTGTCTCTGTGGGTCGGCCCAGTCTGGACATTTCATATCAATGAAATAATGCACTGTTTCGTGCGACCCTTTGTGTTTGCCGTCTTTGACTTTACACAGCGTTTTCATTCATGTTGCATTAATACATCATTCATTGTTATATTGCTAAATAATATTCTACTACCCCATATTGTATTTGTTCATCCATCAGTTGAAAGACATTTGGGTTGTATCCACTATTTTGAATTGATTGTGAAAAATACTGTTAGGAACATTCAGGTCCAAGTTTTTTGTGTAGAAGCATATTTTCAGTTCTCATGGATAGATATCTACCAGTGGCAGGACTGGTTTTTCAGGTAAATCTGTGTTTAACTTTTTGAAGAATTGCCAAACTGCATCTCAGAGTGACTTCACTATTTTAAATGCACGCTGTCCTGAGGATTTGAGTTTCTATCTAGTGCCCTGACATTTTGAGATACTTAAAGTTTATTGTGCCAACCTGGCCAACCCCACACATGTGGGGTTAATTGAAGGTCAGAGAGATAGATGGCTCGGTTAGCCTTGCCTTTCCAGTTCTTGGGTCTCTTGCTTTCTGATGGTTGGACCAGGGTGCAGCTGCCTTAGCCAGTTCCCTGCTTTAGCTGGCAAGGCTCACTTCCTGCAAGACATCCCTGAGGAGAAGCCACATGGACCTACCCCGATGCAGCCCTGGGTGCTGGAGCAGCGACATGGAGACACCTGTCAGTGCTGAGATGCTTATGTGCTCACTAGTTTGGCTTTCCTCCTGTAGTCGGCATCATTGTGTTTTGTGAGATGGAGGAGGACTTTGTGGATTGGTGTCGGACATATGGGCTAATGTTAGACTTGTGGGCTTGGGCAGCACTGGGTTGGGATGTTTTCTTGATGTGCACTTACCCTTTATATAGAACTCTCTCTTGTACATATGAGTTTCTGTGGGTTTGTTTCTCTAATGTACCCAGATTAACACACATTTGTATTAGGGCTTAACTCCTGAGCACCCCGTGTGCAGAAGGCTGGAGACAGTGAAAACCCGAGTCCACTTACAGAGTCCTCATAGATTAAGCCTTGTGTTAGTCCGGGTAGACTAGAGAAACAAATCCAGAGACACTCATATGTGAGTAAGAGAATTTTATATCAAAGAGCAGTTGTACATTAAGAAAACATCTCAGCCCAGTCCAAATCAAGTCCATAAGTCTGATATTACCCCGTATATCTATACTAGTTCATAAATTCCTCTTTAGACTCACGCAGCCATGCAATGACACAGGATGCAGGAAGATCACTGGCCAATGTGGGCCCAGTAGTGGTGGAAGCATCTCAGTGCTGGTGCAGGTCTCCATGTGACTCCTCCAGCTCCAGGGCTCTGGCTCCTGCAGTGTAGCTCCTTATAGAATGTCTTGCAAGGAGAGTGTGTGTGTGTCCTGCCTCCAGCGAGCTATTAATCTCTGTTGCACCTCCAAATGAGGTCGTCAGACTGCAACCTGATTGACAGGCTAAATTCTACCCCTTCACTCTTAATAGTCTTAAGTGGACACCAGACTATGTAACTACCACAAGCCTCCGTTGAATTTGGACAATACTAAGGCTCGCATAGTCACAGGTCATACACTGAACTGACTGCCTTATTCAGAAGGCCCTAGATCAATCTTGTAAGTTCTTCAATCTAACATCATCATACATGTGTCCCAATCATGGCCCCGTTCCTGCTTCTTAGTCCCACCTGTGTACCTGTGATGCACTGATCTGTCACCAATCATGACTTTGTGACCCTTTCCTTCATTTCATGCCTTATTTAACTGGCTCCTGACTGAATCCTTGGACACAATGCCGGCCTCCTGCTCATCGTGTCTCTCATCCGGATGAGGTTTCTGTGTTGTTTGGGTTATCTTTGTCCCTTTTAAGTCTTAATAAACGTTCTCCTTAATTTCTGTTTGGGATTGGGGGTGCTTTTGTAGCCTAAAACACATGTCAGCCTGAAAACCTCCCTTTGGGAATCTCGCCATTGAAAATTCCCTCCATCTTTTGTTTGTCTCGAAGAGCTTAGGTTTCCCTCTATTGTAGAAGGATAAATCTGTTGGTGTAGATCATTGGTTGACCATCTTTTGCATTCAGCATTTTCAGTGTGTCATTTTCTCATGGCTTCTTTGCGCCATGGTTTCTGATGAGAAGTAAATTGTCTCAATGGTGACCCCTTAGATGTGACGGCTGCTTTTCTCCTGTTGCCTTCAAGCTTCTGCCTTTTGAAGTTTTGACTAGCTGTAGCTAGGTGTGGAGCTCTTTGGCTTTGTTCTACTTGGAGTCTATTGGGATTTTGAATGTGCAAATTAATTCTTTTTATCAACTATGGAGAGCTCTGGCTATTGTTTCTTCAAGTATTTGGGGGCTGCTTTCTCTTCTTTCTCTCCTGGTGGTTCATTTCATGTTGTCCCACAGGTGTCTGAGGCTTTATTTATTTTCCTTTATTAGGAAATATATATTTCTTCCTCAGACTGTTGCTCTTCTGACTCGGTGCCATCAAGTCAGTTCTAGCTCATAGCAACCCATGCACAGCAGAACCAAGCCCTGCCTCATTCTCACAATTGTTAGGTTTGCATCCCTTCTTGCAGACTCTGGGTCAGTCAGTCTAGCTGAGGGTCGTCCTCTTTTTTCGCTGACACCCTGTTGTGCCAAGCATGACGTCCTTCTCTGAGGACCAATCCATCCAGATAAGATGTTCAAAGTATGTTAGATGACATCTCACCCTCCGAGCTTCCAAAGAGCATTCAGGCTGTACTTCTCCCAAGACAGATTTTTCATTCTACTGGCGGTCCATGGTAATTTCGGTATTTTTTCACCAACACCGTCACTCAAATGCGTCAGTTATTCTCCAGCTCCTCTTCTTCATGCTCAGCTTTCACAGCATCTGCGCCCATTGAAACT